AACTCCCCTTATATATATATATATTGTGGATGTTCAATAATTATTATAGATGATAAAACCCTCTTTTTAAATATTTAAGTTGTTTAGGTAAGTTCTTCCAAAATCACTTTTATGAGGAAAAAAAATGAAAAAGATTTGTTTTACAACGTAAAATTATCTTATGCATAAGTAATTTATAGAAGCTCTTTCTTGTTAACTTCTCTAAAATGTTAATTTTAACTTGTATATAACTTGATTTTAATTTATAAAAAAATTTATTTTAATTTTTCTTCATAAAAACCCTTATTAAAAAATTTAGTTAAACAAAGCCTATTTACATACCCATAACTCGAAATTGATACTAATAGTTGAGCCATTTGATCCATATGCCCCATAGTATATGGAGAGTTGTTTTAATTTGGAATAAAAGTTATTTTTTTTATATAAATATTGCTTAAAAAATTAAGCTAACTAATATTTTAACATCATCTTAAATAAACTAAGATGAATATAATCTAATACACACAAAGTCCAAGCAATTTACGGAAAATTATCGGAGGGATTAGCTCATTCATAATAAGTTTGCATTAACAAAATATTAAATCATTAAGTAAAAAAATATTTATTAAAAGCATAACCTTGTTTCCGAAAGTAAACGAATAAAAAGAACCCGAGAGAATGCGTTCTGGTCATAAATTAACTTAATTATACTAAGTATTTAGATTATGAGTCATATTGTTACTAACTACTGTAACAAAACATTAATATGTTTGATACACAAACTACGTACTAGGAAGTTGTTATGCTTCCACGCAAAGCTGGATTAGATACAGTGAACCAAAATGGAAAAGAAAAAAAAAAGTCATCTGGCTTTCTAATTAAGGCAGAACCGACAAAGTTGACCAGATGAAGATAGAAGATTTTGTCGCAATTTAATTATGTGCTGCTCTTCACCAATTTGAGTCTTCGTGCACACCGAACGAAGCTCCTGCACAACACAACCCAGATGTACACTTGTTAATTAGGATTTACGAATATATATATGTTTTTCTGTCCAAGATGTGGTTAACTATTAAACTAGATTTTCAATGAAAACACGAATTCTAACTCACAATGGATATGTAGCAAAATCCTAATTATTATTATTATACGAGGAACAATGAATTTGACAGGGTTTTGATTATTTTTTTTGAGAATTAGAATGGTGTGATGCACTTGCCTCCATGGTACGTCTTCTGCATGAAGCCAATCACCTTCTTTGTCCTGATAAGCCAGCTCATAGGTGTTTGATTGTGGATTGCCTGTTTCAGCCGAATTAATTAATTAGTAAAGTGGAACAAGGGATGAATTAGATGCATGGATGAAGATGAATATATACGTACATTTTCCAAACATGTCCATCAAGGTTTCCTTGAGCGTCTGAAACGATTGGTGCATGCCGAGATCAACCTTCCGTGCGATTCCCACGCCCTCCATCTTCACCTTCACGTACAGAGTATTCGATTTGGATTCTACAACGCCATCAGAACCATGATCGTGATGACGATGATGATCAAGCCGTAACATGTGATCATTGTTCCCGACAACCTCGTCCCCACAATTATCGACACGAAGTTTCTTCCTCAAGTAGTTTACGGGTGGCCAACCCACTATAGCTTCTACATCCTCATCATGATCATTCCTAATTAAAGAATAATAAAAAGTTAAACACAAGAGTCATTTGGGGTTGGAAGTGGCAATTAAAAAGAGTAGTATGAGTATGTAGTATTAGTATACGTACTTGGTGATGTTGTGGTTTGGCGTCAAAGGGAGGAGAGTGAGAGTTTGAGGTGCATGGTCCAAGAGTTGGGAGAAGGTACGTTTTTTGTGGGTAGAATTGAGATGGAGGAGGTTGGAGGGGTTGGTTGGGATTGGGAGAGCAAGAGCGAGTTGAAGCTCCATTATTGATGATGCAATAATGTTAAGAAGAAGAAGAAAAGAAGAGTGAGGAAATGTGTGTATATATATATATGGAGAGAGTGAGTGAAGGGGAAAAGGGTGGTTGTTAGTGGGACAAGGTGTTGGGAAGAAGGACTAATGTGTCCGTATCAATGTTTGCCTTTTTGCCGACCCAATTGCCTCTTTCTTTACTTGTTCATTTTCTATTTCTCACGCGCATTCCTCTCTTATTTCATGGACCCCCAACCAAAAATCCACTTACTACTCTTCTACACCTTTCAATTTCCCATCCACTCCTTATTTATATATATTCTATTCTCCCCGTTCCTATTGCCTTCTTCGGGAATTCATTATCAAAACTAAACATTGCAATTCACTTCGATAACTTCCAAGTATTTTTTTATAATCATATTCGTATCAAGTATATTGACTATTTTTAGTCAGCTCTGTCCTCTCATATTTTTATCAATTAATGCAATTAACCGGATATTTTAAATAAATAATAAATGATGTTTAATAATTAATAGTCATGACATATAAAAGTTTCATTTATCTGCCCGTGACTGATTATAGATAATTTACTTAACTATTATTTCTTATTCAAGGAATTAATATTACAATTATGTTTGAGGATATATCAATTAAAAAATAGAAAATATTTCAATCTATAATTGATTTTTTTTTTCAAACATAGATTAAGATATCCCTGTCTATAATTGTAAGGGTATTTATGTAAAAAAATTCTTAGTTTTTGAATTTTTTTTAATTTAAACTAGTGGAAATTAAATTAGATGATCAATATAGTTATGATGATGCAAACTCCCCTAATATCTATTTTCTTTATTTACAAGACTAAGACCCAATTAATTATTTTCTTAAGGAAATTAAATTCCACATCATTAATTTGAACTAAAAAACTATTTGAATTGGTAAGGTATTTTTGGAGGAGAATGAATTTTATCGGGAAAAATCCAAATTCTACATCGACTAGATATAAAACAATTAAAGAGTATATAAGTAGAGAACAATTCTCACCTTACAAACTAATTTTATAGAATTAAGTTAAACTCAAATTTATTATTCTAAAAGACTTTTTTTTTTTTACAAATTTGTCATGTTTAAATTTTGTCCATTTCTATCCTTACATGTGATCGACACAAAATTTAATTAAATAAATTTTATATAAATCTTATTTAACAATATAAGTTTCATTCATTATGTTTACTTTCAATTTAATGAAATTTATGTGAATTTATTTAATAATGAAATATATTGAAAATAAGTGCTACATAATTTATTGTTAAGATTCTTTAAAAAATATATTATATAAATTAAAATTTATAAAATATAAATTTATGATAAATATGGTCATTTTATTGAAAATAACTTCGAACTAAAATTCCACCAAAAATATTGGAACTAAAAAGTAAATGCTAGAAGGGTATTAGTTACTGAAAAAAGGTCGCGGATGCCCAAAAAAAAATGACAGACTGATTATATGCATATTTGAGAAAACGTCTTGAACGCATGTATTTCTTAATTTTCACGTTAATTTCTAGAATTGATATAAAAGTTAAATGTAGTTGTTTTAAAAAATTTACATTATGGTGAATTGAAAATAGTTTTCAATTCCAAATATGCTGTATGAAAAAGAAAAAGAAAAAAAGAGTTTCTGTTAAAAGAATTGTTAGATAATTTAGTGTGTGTTTGGATGCACGTATTATCTTCCAAAAAAGCGATTTGTCTCTCTCTAGATGAATGTTTGGAGTTTTCTTCTTTACATAATTTTACGGATAAAAATCAATTTTGGCTGAAGTCGATGAAGATTGCTTCTACGTAGAAGAAATTAATTTTGATAAATCAATTCTCTAAACACAAATCCAAACACACACTTAAATTGTTATTCTTCTTTGGACAGATAGCAAAGTCTCAATATACAATTTGGACATAACTTCATAATCTAATAATTCTTGTTTACTAGGACAAAACATATATGTTAGATATTGATAGATCACCAAGCAATACATAAATAGCTAAAGATCTGCAAGAAAATTTTCATATTCTTTTATGAATATGAGTTTGACTCTTCTTAAAGTTATATAAAATTTAGTAGCTTTTTGAGGTTCAATTACGTAATTGTGACGACATAATATAAAAGGCAAATATGTAAATATGCTTTTTTCCTCTTATTTTTTTATTTTTATTTTTTGATTTATTTCTTTTAAATTTTTTATCCTATTTTAATTTATCTAATTTGTAAATGTATTATTATTGATCTTAAACTATTTAAAAAGTATTTTGTAATCGTTTCTAAATATTATTTATATTCTATAGTGCTGGAAAGAATAAAAACAATATATTTTTGAATTAGATGGATTAAATTAAAATAATTTAGATTTTATAAAGATTAAAAATATGTTTTAATAAATTTAGAAAGACTAAAAATATATTTTATTATAATATAAATGATGATATTAGGTTTAAGTTTATGTAAATTTCTTCATTAAATCATTATTATACTAGACATGGTTAGACGTTTGATCTTTTATATTGTGATTAGTTGTGAAGTGAGAAATAAATGAGAAATATAATAGAGAATAATAGAAAATAGGGAAATAACCGAGTAGAAATAGGTAAAAAAAAATAAAAAAAATAAAAAAAAGTTCTTTGATTTAAGAGAAGTATGTAACAAATAGAAGAGAAATAATATTATAAAGTTGTTTAATTTGAATGAATAGAGAGAAATAAAATTATAATCAATAATAAAATTACAATATTATCCTCCAATAAAATTATTTATTTCAATAAATAATACTTTTATTTGAATAAGTAACATATTTATTTAAATAAAACAATCATATCCTCATACACATTCGAATAAAATGCCAATATAAATGAATCTATTTAAATAAAAAAAAATCAAACACATTTAAATATAATTAATCATCCAAATAAAATCAATATTAACAAAATATTTTATTCGAATAAAGTAACCACTTGTTTGAATAAGATGTCCTTCTATTCAAATGAAATGTTGTTTTATTCAAATAAAATAAAAGTCATTTAAATAAATCTCAATATATTCAAATAAAAATGACAATTAAAAAAATTATGTCCTCCCATTTGAGCAACACTTATGCATTTGAATAAAACAATACTCATTTGAATAAAATGCCTCTCATTTGAATAAAAACCCATCCATTCGAATAGTTAAAAGTTTCATTCGGAAAATGAAAGCTTCTATTTGAATACATATGCTGCCATTCAAATAACAAACAATTTATTCGAATACTAACTCTCCAGGACACCCATTGAAATAAATAAAGTACCCCCATTGGATTTTGAACACCTTCCTCTCTATTATTTTATTTTATTCCATTTTTTATTTGTTATTTATCGCAGTTGTAACGACAAACTTTATAATATTAATAATTATTTTTCTATTTTTATTTTTATGGTGTGCCAAGAATGTGAGAATTGATATTCATATAAGAGAAGTAAGGGTTGGTGAGAGAGTTATAACATGATGATAAAAGTGTAAAAACAAAACTTTATCACAATCACTTCTTTATTTCACCTATTTTTTATGGAAAATTTTTCCAACATAAGATTCACATCTACAAATTTATCTTCTAATACATTTCTTATAAAAACAAATCTAATAACTTAGTTCTTCATATGATTTCTATACTCCCTTATTCTGTTGTTGTTTCTATTTAACCAAATACAGTGCTAAAGTGTTTAATATTAAATTAAAATAAATGTGACTTGACTTATAAAAAAATCCAGCTCAGTTAAGTAAATAATGCAGAATAAATATTGTAGATTTTTATATTAAATTTGATTTTTATGAATTAAAAAAAAGTTGATATAAATAAAGAGGAGCGTTATATACACGCCCCCACAAACGTGGGTGGGACAAGTGTTGTAGTGTCAGGAAGTGGCTTTCATTAGGGGATCACAGAATAGACACCAAATCTGAAGGTACACTTCTCAGTTGCCTTCAACAACTTGTACTCTTGCAGTTAAATCAAAGACTTGGAGCAGGATGGCCCCACCCAATTCCTCTTCCTTCTCTTTGCTTTCAAATGCTATTTCATAATAATTTTTATACTCTTTTCGTTATAAACATTTGATGTAAACATAATATTACTCTTTACTAATTGGAGAAAGTAGATATTTTTGTGTTAGTTGTAACTTGTAAGACAGTGCATGATCAGTCTATATAGTATTATAGAAGATTTTAGCACTAACATTACACCCACATTGGTAATGATTTAGAGAATCTGAGTATTACATTCATAGTGTTTATCAAAATAGATTCCCACAGGAGAAGTTAGAAGTTTGATGGTAGAAGGAATCCAGGAACTGCAGGGAGTTAGCTCAAAATATCCACTTATATTATATGGGAGACCGCATCTTAGTGCGCAATTACATGACATAATTCTCTTTTAAAAAATTATTTATGCAATGTTTCTTATAATATAAATATATTACGAAATAAAAATTAAAAAAAGACTAGTTTTGCACAAGAAACTGAGTCTCTTTTCACATCAGAATCAGACGATGAATAAAAGAGCGACAAAGGGAAGAGACAGAGAAATATGTTTCAAAATATGTCGTATCTATCTGACAAGGATGAATGAATGAAAAGCAATTAAGAAATTATTGGTAGCATTATAGTATAGAGAGAGACATAAAGTAAGCAAAAATATGCGTGTTGATTTTTGGTTATAATATATTGGAATGGTTAATGATGAAAGAAATGGGTGTGTGATAGAGGGACGCACGAACGATTGAAAGTTAGAACTTTAGAAGCATTGCCCCCTACAGTGGCAGTTGCTGTCAGCGATTGCTAGAAATGTGGAAGGGGTTTCACGTGATGCCCCAACATGCACACCACGCATCTGGGCCGGTGCAACCCCGTGCTTCCCTCTATCTTTTCCTTTTTTTCTTTAATCATATCCCATGATTAATATGTGCTAAGAATAAGAATGTACCAAAAAAAAATCTAAATTAATTTATTTTATAAAATTGATTTAATTATTTAATTTATTTTTATAAAGTGGATTGATTCTATTTAAATTTATTTTTTAAAAAAATTGATTTATATATAAATAAAAAATGAATAACTACATCACACTAAATTGATCTAATT